TAAATATCAAAATGATGATGATGATGGTGGTAGACAATGCAAATGCTCCAAATCTATTGGCGAAAACAAGAGTAGTTATATGGACCGTATGCAAGACATGTTGTGTCATCTTCAGACATCTTGTGAAGATGCCGAATTAGTAACAACACCGTTCATAAAAGCAGCATCTGCATTCACACTGGATGTTAATAATCAACAAGAAGCTATTTGTGCATTATTACAGAAATGTAGACAAAAAGATCACTACATTGATGCATTGGTCGGCGATATATTGGAACGATCAAAGAGCAAAGTTTTTAATAACTTGATATGTCGACTACGAGAACAAAACCCTGGTGCCCCTGATTTTGATAGCGCTCTTATCAGCAGTGCACTGGATCCACATAAGAAAAAGGTTCAGTTTGCGGTATAGATTTAGCGGGATTCAAAATATGCAGCGTGAAGAGAGTGGGTGCTACTAGTTTACTAGTGAAATGGACTCCACCGATTGATTGCAGAATCTGCGGATATGATATACATGTAAACGGACAACTGAAGGCCAGGATCACAAACAAGGAACGTCTCTATGCAATTTTGGATGCTTTGGATTTTTCTGGTACTATTGCAATTGAAATTTACGCTATGGCACCGAAAGGTCGAGCGTATCCGTCATCGCTTGCATATTACACTAAATGCTAATCAACTTAACACAAAAAAACTTTGATGTGTGCCAAATCATTTATTTTATAAAATAAACAGTCAAACAATTTAATCCTGTCACTTATCATTTCAACATTGATTGTAAATCATTCAAAATTTGCAGCTCATAGAATAAAATTGTTATAAAAGATGCTGGATGGATCCTTACGATAGGAAAAGTGCGATACATTTAAAATCAAAATCATATGAAAAGAAGAAGTTTTATCAAGGCAACATGTCGGAAAAGTTATTGGATTCAGTGAAACACGCATCTCTGTCGTTTGCTACTCAGGTGACTAGTAATAAATTCCACGTTACCAATGCGTGCATCAATAAATACTCCAAGCTGGAAGCGTTAATAGGGCGCTTATCAAATGGCACCATATCTGGGACCAATCTACCGGAGCAAAAAAGGATGACAGCATCAACATGTAAAATTCATAAATGACTCTAAATAATAAAATATAACCTATCAAACACAATTCTGTAGATTTTTTGCTTTTGATTCGAAATTTTCTTCAAAAATTCTCAGTATGAATAAGTGCAACCAACAAACGTCCAACAACAAGACTATTATAAAATATAAATTTATAAAGTCACATGTACCATTAAATAAAACTCGAAAATTAACGATGGAGACATTTGCTGAGGATCAAGAATATTTTGTCAGTAAGCATAAGAGTTTATTTAATATTGATTCGAGAGGTAAATTTCAATTATTAGAAATGAATCAGAATAATCATGCTTTAAAAACTTGTAAGTCGAAATATTGTAGGGTTTAAAGATATATCAATTCAAACCAAAGATTCGTGGCATCATATTTTGAACAAAATAATCGAATATGAATTTAAGAAACACATAGAATCTTTTAAATTAAAACAAAACATGCTTAGTTTGGGTAAAGATTGATAAATGTATAATAGCGGTAGAAAAAGTGTCCCGGTTGAAGTGCAATATGAACATAATGAACAAAATCACAAGAATAATCAAACAACATTTCCCGATGACGCCGAAATGATTAAATTGAACAAAAGTACTCATTATTCAGAAATGTCACTTAATGATAAGAAATTAGATCAACTGTGCCACCCGGAATCCAATATATCTCTTTCGCTAACCACCGGGAGCAAACACTCATCACAATGTTGCTGCATTGATTGTATCACCAAAGTCTGATTGCCATGACTGTGAAACCACCACATCATACAAATCAATATAGCCGTTTGTAAAACAAACGAAAATCACTTGTGTCCAAACCCAAACTGTCACAATTTTCCTTTTCATTCCTGTCGAACATCATAAATTTTAAGTGTATGTGCGTGTAAAAATTTTAATCCTTTAAAACAAAACCATTAAAATGTGCGCGGTAAAGACCACCGACGAACAAACTGGCACAATTGCACAAGAAATATTAGAAAAATTGAATTTGGAGCAGGCATTAAACGAAGCTGCAAAAGGTCCCAGCAATATGGCAGGGAAACAATCCGAAACAATCTCTAAAGCCAAGTGTTGTTAATCAAACTGTGGATAAATTCTGTAAGTGTCCTGTTGGACGCCCGCTGAGTGACAACGAAACAAAGATGAATGCGCAAAAGTTTGGTAATGATAGTAACTATAACAATGGGGCAAAACACCTGTGGTTGCTCACAGAAACAACCAACGAATTATAAACAACCAGAACAAGGATGTTGTGCGTGTGCTGGTTTACAACTTGTCAAACCTAAGATAACTTCTTCATCAGCGCAACCTTCAACCAAAACAGTCAAATGTGATGTAGGAACTGGTAACTTATGTAGATGTGGTCCAAGTGTACCAGACCATAATGAAAAACATCGCAAATGATTGCTCAGAAACAACAAGTTGCCGCAACAGCTGCAAAAAGTCTGCGCCAAAATGGTTGAAGCTTGTACCTGTTGTGGTCCGGATGCAGAAAACAATCTTTCAAGCAACAAACTGATGATTCCACTGCAAATATGAAAACTCCGTGCAAATGTGGACGGGAGACTAAACAAACAGCAGCTCCACAACATATATCATGCAGTTGTGAACTGATATCAACCACTTCACTGCCAATCATTAATCGGCCGATGATGGTTCCAGCAGCGACAGGAAAATCAAAACAAGACTTGGAAACTTCACCGGATAAAATAATTGAAGAAGTTCCGGAACCTAGTGTTGTAACAGAATCATATTCTTCTCCAGATTTGGGCAGTGAGAGCAATTTTCCAACTTGCAAATGTTCACAACAACAACAACAACCACAACCACAACCACAGCAGGTACAACAACAACAACAACAAGTACCATCTCTTGTATTTCCTGAATGCGCCTGCGCACAAAATAGTAGTAGCAAAATGCAGGCAAAGACCGAGCCAATCCCTGCAACACAACAACCACGACTATGTTTGTGTAAGCAGATTGCTGGTGGCATTTTCTGTATCCCAGGATCCACAGCCTCATTGCCTGAAACTTCAACAACTGAAACTAGAAAACAAAGCCAGGGTAACACAGGGACGGATACTCAGGATGATTTAGTGGCGAGCACAGGATACAACACTAAAAAATGTAGGATTATGCCAACTATTAATTACTTAACACAATCTGCTAATACAGAGTCACGACCTACGCAGAAAGATGCGCGATTGTCGGCCGTGTCTCGCTCACAAGATTTGGATACATCACCTCCAATGCAGTATCATTGCTCCCAGGCTATTAATCTTTCATGGGTGACTACCATTGGTGCAAATGTAAGTATACTTTATTGAATGTTGTTTCTATATATTGTTTATATCCAAACTTTAGAAGAAAGCTGTGTTGGTCAACTGTTTTACGAGCACGGGTAGATTTCAAGGTCTGCGAGGTGGTAGTCCCACGCAATGCAACTGTCCACCTGGTCAATGCAATGAAAATTGCAGTAAATTACAAGAACAGCGATTAAATCAAATGAACAGTGCCCAGCCAAGTACGGCAATATATTCTGTAGGGCCAACAACAAACCCAGCTTCCATGGGGGTTCAATGGGTCCGCAAAGTCAACAACAAATGCCACCAAATAATGCAGCATTAGTAAATCCGTGTGGTTGTGCAGCTCCGGATTGTAGGCGGAAGGGTGCCGGAGGTGTTCCTTCAGGTGCACCCGGCACAGTTCCTGGATCAACTTATGGAACTGTTCCAGGATCTGGACAAGGAACTGTGCTAGGAACTATACCTGGATCAGGCCCCGGAACCGTACCCGGTACCGTACCCGGATCTATGCTGGCACAGCCCCGGTACTGCTCCCGGAACTGTACCTGGATCTATGCCTGGTACTGCCCCTGGCACAGCCCCAGGAACTGTACCACAAAGTGCTCACACAATGCAATCGGGAGCACCCGGTGCAGGTGTAGCAGGACAAGGTATTAATATACTTTTGTTTATTAAAGGCATTAAACAAAAATTGTTTTAGAAGCGATTACGTCATCGTGTATATGTCCGACGACTACAACGTGCAAACCGAAATGTGAAGAAAGAAAAGAAGCTGCTAGGAAATATGCACAACAAGTTGCAGGTGCACCGGTGGTGGAAACTCAACAAGATCCTAGTCAAATACAACCGGGGTTGGTAGCCAACAACCTTCAGCTATTGCAAGCCAACAGCAACCAGGATCAATGGGAAGTCAAAACAACCATCAGCCGTAGGAAGCCAACAACAACAACCAAGTATAGGCAGCCAACCACAGCAGCAGCAACCTTCAGCTGTCGGAAGTCAACAACTACCTCCAACCATAGGAGGCCAACAACAGCAACCGAGTATGGGAAGCCCACAACAACAACAACCTTCAGCTGTCGGAAGCCAACAACGGCAATCTGGTATGGGAAGTCAGCAACAACCTTCAGCCATTGGTAGTCAGCCACGTTCAAGTCAACAACCATCAGTGTTAGTTGGTCAACCGATGCCAATTGCAGGAGTACCAGATCCATGTTACTGTCCAGCAAAGTTTTGTCATCCTGCATGCAAAGACCCGACCTTGCAAGCAATTGATCCAAAAAATTGTGCTGATAATGCTGGAGCATACTGTGACCCCAATCAACAACAGCAAATGTATAATGCTCAACAACCGCCGATGAATAATACCCTGTATATGCAGCAAATGCCCCTCAAATGCCAGGTGGTTCAATGGCTCCCTACACAACAATCAGTGACGGGGACCTCTTGTATTTGTCCACCTACCGATTGCAAACTTGCATCCATGCCAGGATCTCAATATAACACTGCTCAAGGAACTGCACCAGGATCTTTGTATCAACAGCCATTTCCCGGACCTGGGCAAGGACAAGGAGTAGTAAGGAGTAGTTTGCAAAGTATAAACTCACATTTACGCAATGGCACGTTTTTACATACTCAAATTTAATTACAGATCCCAACTGTGTTTGCGCTCCACCCGATTGTCTAGATCCAAATTTACAAAATGTTCCCGGAAGTAGGCCAAATACAGCCCCTGGAAGCATGCCAGGCACTGTCCCGAACTATGCCAGGAACTATGATCGGTTCAAGACAAGCTTTACAAAGTATTCCAGCACAGTGTGTTAACACTGGAGGTGTATGTGAATCATATTCACCTGCGGGCGCTAGCCTGAATGCTTCGGGAAAAGTCAATTACGAATCACCTGTTGGTCCCGGTGGTAGCAATGCTGGTTGTATTGTTGATCCCACAAAAACGTGCGCCACCGAATCATACGTGCCAAGTGCACCAATTTCCCAGAATGCAATGAGTTATGGTAAACGCGGGTGTCTTGAGGAGGCAAATAGATCTTGTAACGCGCTACGACCCTCAGCCCAACAAAATATGGTACCACCCCAACAATCTTATCCACAAAGTCCGGGCCAAATGCAAGTACAACAACAATCGTATAATTTACAAGCAATGTCTATGCAACCATCGTATCAACAACAAATGCCACCAATGCAACCAATGCCCCCGATGCAACCAATGCCCCCGATGCAACCAATGCAACAAATGCCACCAATGCAACCGATGCAACAAATGCCCCCAATGCAACAAACGCCACCAATGCAACAAATGCAACAAATGCAACCAATGCCACCAATGCAACAAATGCAACCAATGCCACCAATGCACCCGATGCAACAAATGCCACCAATGCAACCAATGCAACAAATGTCCGCTATGCCTGACCCTAACTTGTATTGTACATGCACTGGGGTTAAATGCGTTAAGTCTGCTTGTGAAATGAAGAAACGAGCTCTCATGGGCCAGCAGCTAGCACAACCATCACCATATCAACAACAACAAGCACCACAATCTCCATATCTTGCCGGTATGGCCCAGCAACCCATTGTAGCCGGCGGGCAAATGCAATATTCAGCAGTGCCTACTCCTCAAGTCGGATCAACAATGGGTCAACCACTTCCAGGACAAGTGCCCGGTCAAAGACCAAATGTTATTCCACCAAATCCCGAGTTATTGACGAATGAAGAACTCAAAGGCATACTCAAGGAGCACCACCTTCCAAATGCAAGTGTGTGGGGCCTTGCAATCCACAATGCGATCGTATTAAAGAGCTGAGGAAAGAAATTATGGCTTCCGGCATGAGTGGAACTAATTCTGTCGTGGGTCAAATGCACATCCCAAAGATTCAGGAACACAGATTGATCCTAGACTGAAATCCAATTGCACATGTTCCACTGTTGAATGCAAGAGACGCGATCGTAATTGAAACATTTCTATATACAACAAAATTTCTAACCTCAATTTTTTCAGATAACTAAAATGGGAAATGGAATAAAAATGGCCGCATCTAAAGATGAGTCTGAGGATAGCTCGTCGATATCGAGTAATCAAAGTGATTACTCTAGAATTCTTAAATGCTTAAATTACGAAAACGAAACTGTTGCGACTAGTACAACCACATTGAAAATTTTCACAAACAACATGAATGATATAACTGCTCTGCAACCATATATTAAATTCGATATTGTAAAAGCATTTTTACACCATTGAGAGATTTATACAGCACAACCTATGGGAAAACCAATAATTTCATGAAACTTTGCTGGTATCCAACATCTATGTTATCTTTTCAATTGCCGGCAAATGAAGTGCTGTGCTATGTTGTTGAAGACAACAGCACACAACCGAGAAAGAAGTGTTTTGCAAGCGGAAAACAAGCGATCAAAAATGCACTTTTCATAAAAAGTCTGAAGACTTTGACAAACCATTGCCGCAGACCTCAACTATTCCCAAATGTCCATGCGTAGATAATTTGGAAATACAACCACAACATTTCTCTAAGAAACTTGCGCCAACAAAGTCATTGCTTGAACTTGCCATTCAAACAACGCAGGAAAAGTGTACAGAAAAAGATGGCATACTTGCAATGATGACTAACGAATTAGCCAAGCAATCTAATGCTGGTATATTCGAGACAATGGTACAGGAAATTGCTCTATGTGATACTGATGCACCAGATTACAGTATACAACTGTTGGAGCAGGAACATGCTGCATTGAATAGCTGCGGATGTGATACTGCGGGTAGCGCTGCGAATGATTGTTTCTGCAATGAGTCTTCGGAACCACTGAAAATTATCAAATTGCAAAAACTAACGCCGACTACTTGTCTGGTGAAGTGGATTCGAGCTGCCAGCCCTGAGGTGACTGCGTATGAGATTTATTTGAATGGAAACCTGGTTTATGTGACTTCTGGAGATAAGGAACACGCCGTGGTTTCAATTGATGCCACTTTGGTGGATATACAGATAAATCTGTTTGCTAGCACCAAGGAGGGCAGATGTTATCCGGAGGCGATTGCATTAACTTCTTAAACATTAATATTTACCACATTATTTTATTAAAGGATTAAAATTTTTACAGCAGATATTTATTTTGTTTTATTTTGGGGTTCTTAATAAACCACGCTCTCAAACTCTCAATTAATCACGTGAATATAACTCATGTTTAGTTACTTGATACTTAATATAGTATTATATTTTCTCTATAATATAAAAATAAATCGCAAAATCTGTTAGTAAGCGCATAACTCAAGACCGCCTAGACCAATTTGGCCAATTCTTGTTTTTAAATATTCGGTAAAGTCCAAGTTTATATAATTAATTTCTATAAAATAAAATTGCGAATCTTATTGATAGAATTAATTACATACTATGTCTGGAACAAAGAGAGTAAAAACGAATTACACTTTTATCAAACACTACCGATTCGAAGTTGCGGGCAAAAGCTAGTTTTATAATAAATAAAATATTGGAGTAAACTTTACTTGAAATAGCAGAAAACTCAAGATTTAATTGAATCATTGATTTTATAAAGTTGGAAGTTTAGTTTTTATTTGTTTTTGAGTTTGAAATTTTTTTCCAGCTTTATTATTAAGTATTGTTTTGCGGTGATATTTAATATTTTTAACTTTACCTCCCGGGCAGGTTTGTAAATTAAAATATCAATTTCCCGTACTATTTATAGTTTGCAATAAAGCGGAGTATAATGAGAAAAAATCTTCTTAAAAAACAGCAATTTACTTAAAAATTGCAGCATAGTCTTCTCAGAATAGACTTATTTTACTTTTCTTGGCTTTCTCAAAAATTGAATATTTTTAAAATTCTTGCTAAAATAAACGTGTTTTGAGAGTCACTTCAAAAGACGTTTTTATTATAAGTTGTTTATTTTGCTCTCATAAATGACTAATAATCCGGAAACAAAGTTAACCTCATGATGAAAATTATGTGACATATTGCTCACTGCATACGCAACATGATGGAAAGTGCCTTCCAAAATCCAAACCCCCGTCAGCATGAATAAATAATAATTCATCGTTTCCGGTAACTGTGAGGGCACCCTAACGTGCGCACTGCCTTTGATTTTCCTTTCATGCATTCCATCAGCTTTTTTTTTGTATATTTATAAAGGACCCTCACGGTTTTCAATGGCAGACAAACGTTCATTGAAGTATTGGAATGTAAATATTTTTATTTCAAGCGTTTTCCGCTTTGAAATACCTACAACAATAAACTGCATTCACATGAGACGAATTTATTTTGGTTACAGGAACGATAATTGGCTACAGTATGAAATTGAAAATGATCCCGCCGTCGAACGTCAAAGGCAATCAGATGAAAACATATTTGGAAACACATGTGAGTAGTAAATATTTTATTCTGCGTAATATAATTTTTTATACAAATCTTTAACGCATGCGACAATAAAAAATCTCATGTAACACCGTGTCAAACGTCACGCGCGTTGCGAAATGCTTTCGTGCGTTTAGCGAGCTTCTCGGGAGGCTTTTGCCCGAGCACGTAGCCGCCGTAAAGCGTCCCGCGCCGGGACCGTCGGTAATTAACGAGGTCGCATCGCCCGGGGAGTAGTAAACAGAAGCGGGAGGCACGACTCATGCTTTCGCTTCTACTACCCCGCTAGTACTTCTAGTAGAACGCACCCGTATGACCACGACCACCAGTGGACATGTCCGGCGCTTGTAACCTGCAGGACTTCCTCTGTTACGAGCAAAACACACAACAGGCTCACTTCGTTTGGCAAACTCATAACCTCACAGTCCATATTACACGCCAAAGGGATATTTTCGGAAGGAAATTTTCCATATGTACAGACAAATAACACTTTAATCATCATCTTTGTTTGTTTCAAGTTGGTTGATTATTTTATTCTTCGAAAAAAAAAAACATCAATCTGAAAATGTTTTTCTCGTTGCGAAGAATTATTCAATTACAAAATGTTTTACCTTGCTTCCGGTTGGATTGCTCCCCGCCGGGTCGTGATGAAATCGATACGGTGTTGTGTTGCACAGCGAGTTTTTAATTTCGACATGTGTGCTTTCTCAAGTGCGATCGCGTTTTGATTGATTGCGCGCCGTGTGCGCACGTTTCCTTTGTTTTCCTCGCTGCGCAATAATTTCGCTTGCACCACTTATGATTGCAAATTGATATCCGAATTGGCGAGCTTTGTTCTTGTCCAAACGTCCGAACGAATTAAAGCTCAGCTTTGTCTGCTCATATGTACTCAGAATAGTCAGACTAGAAAAAAAGCAGCGCAAAGAATTTCACTCTACTGGTGAAAAATCAAAGCATTGTGCGCGTTTTATCCACGCTCGGATTTATCACGTTTTATTAATGCTGGCTGTCGATTTCCGAATCGGCGCCATCTCCACTCGTTCGCTGCTAATGCGCGCGTTTTGAATACTTGGTCCTTTTTTCTCCCTGGCAAACCTTTTTCGGCGCAATGTGAGACCGTCTTCGATCATCGGCATTCACGCTACTCGCAAAGATTCCCCACTCGTATCGTAACTTTCCTTTCGTTTTCTTCACGTTCTTGTGCGTGGTGCGTGTTTATGACTTCACTGAAACGCACGACGTGCCATTGAAAATGTGCGCAATTTTCATCCGCTTGCATGTTTCATATCCTGTCACAGTTTTTCTTTTTCACCTCGAAATCAAAAACTAAACCACCCACAGCGCGCATAGCAATACTTTTTGGTTAGGTAAAGTAAGGTTATGTTGTATGTCACGCACACATTGTTGCCGTAAAATCACTGAAAACGTCTCGTTTGGTTACAGCTGGCGCGTGTTCTTCGCGAGGCAGCGAGTCTGGAAGAAGCGCACGTCATTGATTTTCAGTAAGTGACAAATTTCCTTCCTCTTTGCGCCTTTCGGAGCGTTAAAAAACGACGCTATTATGCAAAGCTTCGACCTAAATACTTTGCCGAAAAGACAATAAAACTTTTATTCCGATCTTTAACCTCACTTTGCGACTTTCGACGCATGACAGCGGGTCTCAGCGCAACCAGGGCGCAAAAGGTCTCCGCGAATCGTTTTGGGACCAACTATAACATGTTTTTTTGGTTTCGTTCAAGATCGCAGACGCATCACGTCAGATTGACGCTGCAGGTGGCGGCCGGCAGGAAGGACGAACGCCGGCTCAGATCCATCACCTCCAAGTGGGTCGAGCGGGGCCATGTTGGCAACATCAGTTTGGTACAACCCACGCCGGCAATCTTATTAACGCCGCTGACTTCTTTCTCGCATCAGGTGAGCACCCGAAACGATTTAACACTGATAACCTCAAAAGTTATTAGTTTTCAAAGTTTTTACGCCAACACGGTGACAACTTGATGTGATTGCACGTGCCACACGTAAAATTTGTTCCTGTCGGCTGGCGATAAATCATCGTGTGCTTTAGACTCGGGGATTTATGTCAGTGCTAGTCTGTATTATATCAATTTCGCGCAGTAAACCACCGCATAGGGATGAGGAAGCATGAAGTAAATAAAATTTCCGTAATAAATTCGGACAGGTCGCTGAACGTTTGTTTATATCCTACATACGTGCATACACCCCGCGTGCTACGTCATATAAAAATGATTTATGGAGAGCCAACAGTTTTATTGCATCGTAAAGAGCGCGCACGCCGGGCCACTCCGGACGGTTTAATTAAGAACATTAATATTTCATTTGGAAATATCATTTACCTGTCGAATATTTTTTTTAAATTCAATGTAGGTATTTATTGAATAAGTCGTCGTTTTAGGGTAATAAATTTTGTTTTATGAAATATTGATTGATTGTTATGCGCGGTCGTTGGCTCGATTTTTATTAGCCACAAACATTGTGTGAGCTCCGCATGTTATATTGGTTGCATAACTAACACACGATTCGTTTCCGCCATGTCCGCCGCGCTGCCTCCATTCTTCCTAATTCACGATCGATGCTCGAATCTCTGATATTTCGATATTTTCATGCACGCATCCAGGCTTAACGATTCGCTTATAGATATTTTTTCCCATTCTGGGTAGGCGTTTTGCGGTCGGTTGGCGCGCGCGCCGTAAAAAAACTTTTCGTATATAGAAAACATCAAAAGATATAAAAGTTTTTCGGTCTCTCGCAGATGTCACGCCGCCTCACACCATACCATCGGCCTACCCCAAACTGGAAAATCCTTTTTTTTTCTCTCTCCTGCGTGCCGCAGTGCTTTTTTTCGGCTGATATTTTTGCGGGCGGAGAACTTTATGAAATTCCAGTGATAATTTTTACTTCGCTTTTGTCCTCAGTTGCGTGTTGTTGGTGTTTTGTGTTTTTTTTTTGTTGCTCCAACAAGCCGATTGCTCCCAATTGAGTTATTTCGACATTTTCGCTCTGTTGTGATATTCGCTGCTCGCTGCGCGCCAAACTCATTCAGCACACATCGTTGATAAATATACACTCGCGTTGTAGAAACCGGACAAATTAGTTTATAAATTAATCAATATGCGCATCAACGTCGGTCGCACGAGTGTGTAGTTTCGCAATTAGCGTTCATCGTTTGAGGGCGAGTAATTAACCCCTCTGACCGATGCGACGCGGTTTGCTGCGAGCAAACTCATAATACGTAATAACTCCCTCAACGACCAGTAGGTATTTATTTAATAGGTGTGTCAAAGCAGCAATTATTTCCGAGATCGTTGCTCGATGGCTGGTGGTGGAAGTAATTTTTCTAACGTAAACTGAAATTTTTCCAGGGCATAACGGTGCATCCGACGAGTCAGATCCACGCCAGCGAGGATTTCGCATTGTCCTGCACGACAAGCTTTGCGAACAGCGACGCTGTTTCGGCGGCGTCCTTCCGGTGGTTCAAGGACGACCTCTTTATCAATGTCACAGCGCCAACCAGGCAAGTAATAAAGATCGTCCTTGCCAGCCAGACGCGCCTGGATCCAGCCTGCTCTCCCAGTTTCGTTCTATTTAAAATTTATTTTCGCACAGCCGCGGCCGCAAACGTGTCATAATTTACTGCCCGAAAAAAGTCTGCTCTGCTGGAGGAATAAAAAAAAACACCGGGATAAAACTTAACATCATTAACGAGCTTCCACGGATCGCAATCGGGATTGAGATTGGGAAACTGATTGATTGTGTAAATAGGCGACATTAACGGTAATCGAGGGCGCGCTCGTCGAAGCGAATTTATATCGACGCCGCAACCGAAGCGATTTTTATCAACCCTCGGGACGCAAGCAAGCGAGCAAACGGGAAAGAAGCAAAAAAAAAAACTAGTAAATCGGACCCTTTAAATATTTGCCTATAAATCGGTTTTCCCTCCCGGGCACACGCGCTTTCCTCTGACATTCCGACCACACTTTCCTTCCTACCCTCGTTGCACACTCCCCGGGACAACTGATGTATTTATTAACATAACATCTAAATTTAGAGTGCCGTACGCGTTTTAAATCGTAGCCAACGACTTTATCCAAAGCGGCGCGTAAATTTTTCCCTTTGTACAACTCGATTTTTGAGTGGATTTAATTAATTAATTAACAAAACCGACGAAAGCAATTTGCATGTGTTTAGCGATGCGAAAAGTCGTCGTCGACGTTTAATACTTCCTCGGGTAATTTTCAGCGGGTTGACCGGCGCGTACAATTCTTGCCCGAGCGAAAATTTCCCCGAGGACCCGCGCTTATTACGTGTACATCGGGCACCCGATAATTACGTCTGTTTCTTTACTCTGCGCGGAAATGTCGTATGTATGTTTTTGGGTGTGTGTGAGTGTGTGTTTGCATTTAAATTGCGTCACTATTTAAATTGTCGAAACTAAATGGCAAATTTAGTTACGCCTTGCTGAAGCGGTGGCTTCGCGAATTTGCGCTGCGGGAATGGGCAGTAAGTGGATTTAATTAAGTGTGTACACGATTTTTCACTCTAGCGGAAAGTCGGCGCACGTGATTGAGGACGACGCGGCGCGGGATCAATACGTTTCGCAGCTCAACATTAAAAATGCATCGCCGTTGGACCAGGGCACCTTTACCTGCCAGGCGATCGAATCCGGCCATCAGCGTTGCTATACGCGACGCGTTGAAGTCCGAGCTCCACCACGGGTGTGGATTGAACCCATGAGCTTGACTGTTAGGAAGGTAAAAACGGGAAATATACTTTTTATCGCCTGGGTTGTAAAATACGACGTTTTTCTTAGGGCGAAAATTTTACAATAAAATGCTTCAGTGCATCTACCAACCCAAACGATGCCAAGTACACGTACAGCTGGACCAAGAACAAGGAACTTCTCCCAATCAAAACAGACACCGAGCACTACGAGGTTCTGTTTCCCATGGGCAGCATTCTTCAAGTCTCTACAATCAGTGTTAGTCTAGCACAATTTCTAGATTCCTAGTTGATTGTTTGATTTTTTTCTTTTTGATTAGAAATCGACCATGTTCTCCTGCCTGGTGCAAGACTCGGCCGTGTGGGCCGAACAGAGCATCCTCGTGAACGTGATCGATTCCGAGCTGATCAAGACTTGCGCCGGCGAACGCCACCTCAAGCTTCTCTGGCCGGAAACAGCACCGGGCACCGAAAGCCTACAAGAATGCCCCGTCGGCTATGCGGGTGTGGCGCGGCGTGCATGCAACCTGCGCGAGACCGGCCATCCGGTCTGGTATCTCCCGGACTTTGCCGGCTGTCACTCCGACCGCATGGAGGCGCTCAACTTACAAGTATGTCACTTTAATCTCTTGCACTTGATACGAAATAGTTGCTGCACAATTTACGAATAGTTGCAAACAAAATGGCGCCCGCCATTAATGCGTTAATATGTCCACGAGCATGTCGCCGGAAACTCTTGCGAACATCCGCTTGAATATAGTAGCACTCGAAGGTTTAATTCGTGTTGTTGCTTCGGCAAACAGTTTCAGAAAGTTCGTCTCGGATACGCGGCGACGCGGCCACTCGACGTCCTGCGCGGCTATCGGCGCTATCTGAACGGCAACCGGACGCTGCTTCCGGGCGAAGGGTACACCGTCCTCCAGCTGGTCAACGACGTCGTGCACTACATCAATAACTCCATCAGCGGGGACGTCTACGACACGGTGTTCGATATTGTCGAGGGGATTCTCCAGCGCAAACTTTCGCTCATCAACGAGACGGTGAGTCTTCTTCATTTGAAAACACGTTGTGTCACTTTGAGCAGAAATTTTATTAAGCGCTCGTCACGTCTCGGCGTCGGAGTCGTTTGTTTTTATTAAACTCGCGCAGACAAAGCTGCAGATTACGTCTGAATTTTTTTTTCTGCTGTTCGCCGGCAAAACAGAACAAAACAAAACTCGCAACTCGAAAGGTAATTGCAGAAACTCGGCGCGTAACAATATTTATTCAGATGACATTACTACGAGCCCTTCGGTACTTTTAGGCAGCCGGAAGCGACGGAAGTGAAGGAAAAACTCGGGTTAGGGCGTGATTGTTCCGTCACTTGTATCAAAAAAGAATCAATTCACGATTCTGCACTGTCATCACGACGAACTAACAACAACTATGCGACATTAACTTTTCTAATTTCCGGGTTGTGCCTTTTTTTTTGGTTTACGCCGCTTGGGAAAATACATAAAACGCAATGCATTAATAACGACACACAGAGAGTTTGCCTCGTCCTTCTTTTCTTCGACAAAGGCGACGGCTTTTGTTGCCGTGGATAAACCGGAAAATCAGCAAGTGACTAGGGCGTCCGGGCCGGGGCGCGTTTAACTTTTTTTTATCGCCCAACTTGCGCGCCGGGTAAACTCTGCATTTTTCATTACACAATGTTTATGTAAAATAGTTTCCACATCGACATCGTGCAGAGTGCGGAGGCGGCGCAGATATCCGGTTCATGCGCGCCAAAGTTTAAATGAAGTAAGAACGCTGTGCGGCGTTTGCGGGCGTTCGGAAATTTTGTTTAAAAGTTAAATAACGACGAAGCGACGAAAGGGATCAGTCGCACGAGCGTCCGGTGATGCGCGCTTCTAATCGGCTCGGGGTCAATTTACACTTGCGGCCACCCCTTGTCACAGAGACACAGAGTTTCAACTCTCGAGTTCTCGAGTCCCGCGCGCATTGTTCGCGAGACAAACTCATCGCTAAGTATTCCCGGGGAAAACAAAACTTTATCATTTTCATCATTCCGTTGCGCGCAGCGAGGTTTGCCTTGCGTTTGGGAGGTAAACGAGCCTCTTAGGCGATTCAACCGCCCTGGTCCGAGGAGATAATTAAGAACTTTTGCTCGCGCCGCAAAGAAGTCACATTTGAATTCTCTTTCATTGTTTCTCTGTCCGCACAAACGAAGTTAATTTTTGCTTTTCGGCTTTATTTTTTGACACCGGGCGACATTATTAAAAGTATTTATATTTCCGTCGTTCTTTATTCATCAAACCGGAAGCAAAATTAAACTTTTTTCATTTCTTTTGATTTACATATTTATCAAATCTACAATGACTTCAGAACCAACTAATTACAAAAATGAAAACCTAAAAAACAAAAAAAAATATTATATAACCGGAAGTTTTTGTATTATTATTCTTCGCTTTTAGTTTAAAATTCGCTGCAACTACACACGCTGGGCATAAAATGACTTGCAGCTTTGTTGAAAGTTTTAAATTGAAAGCTTCCGCCCCATGATTGTGTCGTATTGTTGCAGCAAGTGATGCTGCTGCAGGAGGTTGTTAAGCGACAAAGCCTGGCGTTCCAATCAACCTTTCACCGTACGCTCAACACGATCGACGTGACCCTGACGCGACCGGATAAGACCGGATTCCATGTGCCGCAATCTGGTCTCAGGTATGACCCGCCGTCCTAATCCTTTTACATACTGATGAAAACGAGATTGCCCAGCGCTAGATGACAAGGAATAACTAACGATTGTGGATTGTGGTTGACCCTTTTCCGGCTTACGGACGCCGTGCGCTCCTCTAATTAATACATGGGCTCACATTACGATTGCATTTTTTGGCCACTTTGCTCGTTGACTACAAGTCGTAAATTTCTATTTCACGCCATATACTTTTTTTTACTATGCCTTGTCTTGGGTCTTGAAGCTGACGTTGTGTCCGCTCGCGCACGTTACAGATACCCCGGCTGGTTCTCTTATAAATTACATCTGGCACTCCCTCGGCATTACTTCGCCGCGGCGGCTGGCGTTGGCGCGGCGTCGCCGAATAAATCTGCAACATTAGCGGCGGTGGTTTACAGAAATTTATCCGCCTTCCTCCCGCTGAGATCCGCCATCCGGCTCAAGTAAGTACTTTATGCATTGTTTATATATTTCAACCCTTTCCACCGCCACTCACTCCCACTTAGTATACACACAGTGGCTTCCCTGAGTGCTCCTTGGATTTGTAGCTTTTGTGAGCTTTTATCAACAGCGTGTACTTTTTTATACCCCGAACATAAAGCCTAATGAATATGTTTGCATGCGATTGTGTAGGGACGGCATTGAGATGGACTACGAGGTTATATCGAACATTGTCGGCTGCTGGTTGACCTTCAACGGCAGTGAGCTGCGCGAGAACCTCACGGATATTCTATACACAATGGAGTTCCAGCATCCGGGAAAGAACGCCTCGCAGGACGCATGGAACGTACAGTGCGCTGTCGCCGACTATGCCAGTTATGGTTATGCCTGGAATACGCAGACCTGCATCACAAGGTCAATATTAACCCTCCAAAACCCCTTCCTCCCATGGGAGGGATTAGTACGGTTGCATATGAATGCAAATCGCAAAATTACAACACCGAAATGCTCCTCTCTGTTTGCAGGCTCCTGGAAGCAACGCGCACACGATGCATCTGTCCTCGCTCCGGCACGTACGCCGTCCTCTTGACGATGAAACCGTCCTTCGTAAGTACCTAACCTCATTTGAGATATTATAATGGTGACACATAACCTTGTATATGATTACGATATGTTTACAGATTGACTCCGAAGAGGCGCCCAGTCGCCAGCTGGTGATCCTCGTCGGCTGCGCCAGCTGCAGCCTGCTGAACGCCATCGCGGTGGTGATCCTTGTCTGCTATTGGTTGCGGCGGAGATCGTGTCTCGTCTTCCTCAAACTACAGTGCTGTCTGTCGCTGCTCGCCTCCATGTTGGTGTTCATCTATGCGCTCTGGGACGACCTGCCGCCGGTACGTGCCGTGTGTACACTTTTAAAATTGCATCCTGCATCCACCTGATCTTGCAAATCATCAAAGATTCACCACGGAAACCAGACAGTTTTTGCGTGGTTTTTCGTTGAGTACTTTTCTCAAAGTCCGGTGAAGTTAGGAGCGGTTTAAAGCCGATGTCGAACGCTTGGCGACGGGAAAATCCCGCTCGGCTTTAATGCAATTTCTCTTGCAGGCGCTCTTCCTGACGGTCATGAGCATCCTGGAGAGTTTCCTGCTCACAGGACTATCGTCCCAGCTGAGCAATTTGCTTATTATTTACTCCGAGCTCGTGCAACTGCCGCGGATGCGCAGCGTCAAGCAAACCGTTGTTCTTATCATAACAGGTACATAGTTTATTTTAATATATTCACCAATATTATTTGAATAAAAATCTTGGACGTGTTTTTTTCTTGTGGTTAGGAGCTCCGATGATAGCCGTTTTGGTAATCACATGGCCCATCTGACGATGAACACCCGCATTGACTCCTGGTGGCTCCTGCGAGGTCATTATCCTTCAACATCTTCGTGACTTGTTGCTCGATCATCGTCCTGCTCTACTTTGTTCTGTTTTACATCGTGGCGAGAAAAGTCGCGCGTGCAAACATCAAATGTGAAAAGCGATCCGAAGCGTTGCAGTACAGGTACAGATAGCTTATAAATTTAAATTATTTCGTACGTAACTTGTGCGTGGCAAAAAGCACTCGCGTTGAAATATCAATTACCTGTCAGTGCAAACTGTGTTATGCGCGTGATATTCCTCGCTTATTTTTTTGTAGTTTCCTGGAAAATTCTATAACAAGTTCAAAAAGCGAAGCGAAAAGTTGCAGCGAATTTAAATTATTCGCAAGTTTTTCGGGCGCAAAATTTCGACGACACACTAAAGCACGGTCGGCATATTTTTGCCTTGGTTGTACTCCTCACCGCACGCCGGCGGTATGTTGTTTTTAGGCAGCGCAGCCAGAGGAAAATGCGAAAAATGCGAAAAGCGTGCGCGAGCATACGCCGCATAATCAACAACATCGATCAGCAGCCGGGGCGAAATTGTCCGCAGTCGATATCACCGGTTCTACCGCCACGTAGAAAATACAATCCACGCTACTCTCTATAGCCATATAACCGAATAGGCTAGTGGGCTATACACATGTTGCATAGTACATTGGGTTGCATACAGCGCGCTTATTGTGTTTCGGCGCGTTGGCAAATTTATATGTAAAGCAACACTGTTTCAGGTTGCGACTATTGAAGCGATCCGTTTTCGTATTCTGCTCGATAACGGCGACCGTATCGAGCAGCATTCTCTACATCAACGCGCCGGAGAACGAGCTCTGCCATTACGTTTTCAGCGGCCTGTCTGTCTCGATGGTGAGAGATATATCCTACGTGAATTTACATCCCCTCATGTCTAAATAAAGCGATATTCACCTCATGCGCCGGACGTTGCCGTCCTGTTTTATGTTTCAGGGCGCGGTGATATTTTTCTGCTACATCCTCTGCTCGGAGACGCCGGTCAAGCAACTTTTAATTACAAGATTAAAGGACGAGAACGCCGAGAAGCAGAGTCCAGATGCCGGCAAGCATCTCAAATGTGAGTATCATCTGGCGCGGCGTGACTTTATTGCAATCAACAAAGTTTCTTTTTGCAACACGTTGCGTCGCGGTTTGGGCGATATTAAAAATTTTACGACAAGCAAGGACGACGACCGCATGTCCACGAGGGCAGTTTGAGTTTCAGTTTTGACCCCGGCCGAATTTCTAATTAATTAAACGACCGAATGATGATGAGGGTCGTCTTCATCATCTAACTGCGCGAACCCTTTTTATTCAAATTTGTCGCTCTTGTCGCGCAGCATGGCGCCGGTGATTTTTTGCCCACTCCTAATCAAAATATTCAAAACAAGCACTTTTTTGAGCGCAGTTTTCACCAAAGAAAAACCGGAAGTCGAGAACGACGCCATGCCCTACTTTTGTACCACGGTGGAGACCCGCAAGTACGCAGAGATGACCGCTACCAGCTTCAAGACGGCTGCCAGTGCGAATTTTGCTCCAGATGATGCGCATCCCAGCGCTGTATATCATCAACACACCCAGCTCGAATGTCTGAATTCGCCTGATCTGCTCGGTACGAAAAAGTTTGTTGAGCTCGACCTGGTCGCCTCATCAATCTCCACTTCCTCCGAGGCGGAGACCTGTTTCTATACGTCGAAGACGATGCCGTGCATCACCATCACTCAACCGCCCGATGAGCAACGCCTGCGACCCGAAGGCGAGGAGAAAATCCTCGCGTCATCTGAACTGTCGACACAGAAACAACCTCTGGCGGACAATCTCGACGCCGTGATGGACAGCATCACGCACGATCTCGACTATCTGCTCAATGGCAACGAATACGAAGCCGAGAATGCGAGCGCAGCACCACCGCCAGTCGTGACGACCGGCAGTCTGCGCCGCATCTCGAAGCCTCCCTCGCTCGCCGTCTTCGAACAGATCGACGAGGAGCCCGAGGAGGAAATTAAAGTGCCCGAGGCGATTACGAACGTGTCGCGCACGAGCTGCTAACGAAGTGAAACGTTGCCCAGTGCCATTTAGCGCTCGCGCGCGGCAATTTCAAGCGGCGTTTGTTTTATTTTCAATCGTGGATTACACCCGATCATCGCCGCCGGCGCGATAACGGGCGCGTTCATGTGTGGCGCCATCATTTCGCGTTGGACTTTTATTGTTGGAGGCACAATAAACATCATCGGAAAAACGTGGAACGAAACGAAACAAAAAAACGAGAATCGAAACAACCAAATAGGTACAAATTCTGTGATAATTTTTGATTTTAACGAATAACAACACTGTAAAAATCATCCATTTTAATGCTAACTAATAATTAATGTTGTGATCTATTTATCAAAATTTCAAAACTTTTATCTACTAACATTTAACGAATATACTGTAGCATTAATTGGGGTGGGTGAACGTGACTGAATTGTGACACGTGGAAATACATACAGGTGCATGTCATTTAACAATAAATCATCATGTTTTAATTAAATCACAATAATTTTACTAATTACCCTGTATCATTATCGTGTGTTTCTAATTATTCTATAACCAACACAACACAAACTTCAATTTTAATTTCCTCCCTAGTAATCTCTTCTGTTGGTACCCAATATACTAATTGTAGTAGTGTATAAGTACTTGTTTTCTTTATAAGTGTAAATACTGTTGACATCTGCTAAAACAATAACTCTGCCGCTGGCTTTCATCGCATTTCCGACACAGACTTCAAAGATAAATTCCTGTCGCTACATTATGAGGTTTATTTAAAGCGGGACGGTGAGTGAATTACCTTCGGGGCATTAAAAACCTAATTTAATTAGATGCTTGAGCTCTTAAACTAAACAAAAGCGTTTATGGGACGCAATTAATTTCGCTCGTTTTGCGGAACCTGAAACACGCCGCCGCATGCAGCGGCGGGTAACAATAAAATTGAAATTGTGACGACGTTCCCCTGCTAGACAAGCAGCAAAAAATCGCCGACATTAGGAAACGAATAAATGGACGAAAGAAGCAGAAAACTCATTTTTTGTTAGGAGGAGTGGTTGTAAGCACGCCAGCGGGGGGATGCTGAGAGAGTGCGCGTTTTACAACGCCGACGGGTGCGTCTAATTGCTTGTAATTTGGCCACGCTGATAGAGACCCAGTGCCACTTCAAGCGTTCCCGCCGCTTAGCACTTTCTGCTATGGGTTCTCGAGAGGGACTGTAGTGATATTCGCTGCAGGAGATACGCTGCACCAAACTAGGAGAACAAGGGATCTATCTTCTAGCGCCGTATTTCCTATTGCGATGTGGTGTTCATAGAGTTCTAATCTGTGCGGGTAAGGATCCCTCTTGCAATTCGAATTTATACAGATCTAAGCCACGGCCCAAATATCCCAAGGACATCTAGATCAACACAAGGTAATGTTGTTTTGACCAAAGCTCGAATCCTATTATTATAGAAAGTTGTAGTAGTCAGAGTTTACACTCTCATGCATTAACCAAATAACAAATCAAACACGAGTCAAATTGTGCAGCAAGGTGTGTGATTTGTGTATTGATTTCACTTCACAGTTCACTGCTCATTACTATCGACTTTTTACGAGTAATTGTTAAAATGATAATGAATCAGAGACGAAACAGATAACTCGCAACTACTGAGAACTTGGACTGCTTGATATATTTTTTATAGGTAAATATTGGATGGAGAGATTTTTTACAACTTGCGTACTTTTCCAACCGTCTAAACCTTCCTGAGTTACCTTGAACTATTCACCTCTTCCATTTCAATTTCTAAAAGATGACGTGGGAAACTCTGTATTTCATGCACTGCTAGCAATTTCGGGCCGATTATCAGCTGATACTGAAAACACTCTGTATCTAGTGAACTAATTGACTTTCTTAAAGTTTCTCCATGCCAGAATAGAGCTAGAGAGTTCCTTTACACAATATATTCTCTCCAATTTTCCAACTCTTTCGGAAGTGCCCTAAAATGTCCTGAAAAAATGAGCAATTTTAGGAAAATTTGAAAACATGGTGTGGAAAACACTCTGTATCTAGTGAACTAATTGACTTTCTTAAAGTTTCTCCACGCCAGAATAGAGCTAAAGAGTTCCTTTATATAATGTATTCTCTCCAATTTTCCAGCCCTTCCGGAAGTACCTTAAAATGCCCTTCAAAAATCAGCAGTTTTAAGAAAATTTGAAAAGATGAGATGGAAAACACCCTGTATCTCCAAAACTAATTGCTTTTCTTTGAGTTTTTCCACGCCAGAAGAGAGTCAGGGAGTTTATCTACACGATGCATACTCTTTATACCTTCTAGCCCTTTCGGAAGGGCCTTAAAATGCTCTTCAAAAATAAGCAATTTTAGGAAAATTTGAAAACATGGTGTGAAAAACACCTTGTATCACGTGAACTAATTGATTTTTTTGAAGTTTCTTAACGTCATGTTTAAGTTCAAGAGATCCTTTCCACAATGCACAATTTTTAACCCTATAAACCCTTTGGAAGTGTCTTAAAATCCCAATTGAATATCGCTATTTTTGTCCAATAAATTTCATTTTTTGGTCGAATAACAGGGTCGAACTTTTTTTAATAAATATTTTTTGGTTGAAGAACAGAGTCGAACTTTTTACTTAATATTTTTTTTGGTTGAATTTTTTTGTTACATTTTTTCGGTCGAAAAACAGGATCGAACTTTTTTTCATAAAATTTTTTATAGTTAAAATTTTCTCGGTCGAATTTTTTTGTTAAAATTTTTTCGGTCGAATTTTTTATTAAAATTTTTCGGTCGAAAAGGGTCGAACTTTTTACCTACATTTTTCGGTCGAATTTTTTGTCAAAATTTTTTTGGTCGAAAAACAGAGTTGCACTCTTTTACTTAAAATTTTGTCAGTCGAATTTTTTTGTTAAAATTTTTTTGGTTGAAAAACAGGACCGAACTTTTTTACTTAAAATTTTTTTGTTCAATGAACAGGGTCACACTATTGTGTTAAAATATTTTTTGGTCGAAGAACAGGGTCAAATTTTTTGGCGATTATGTCAACGAATGCATTTTTCTCTAAAATTGTAAATAGGATCTAAACGGTTATTGTTAGTTACTAAAAGAAACAATGTTAAATTAAATTATCTATCAGAATTCGATTAAGAATTTAATAAAAATTAATAGTTCCATGCATAGCACGAGTACAATTCTTTTCATGTTCTGCACTACCACACTGAATGTATCAGTGTTTACAAACAAACAAGTTTCTTTATCTCCTGCATTTTTGTGCGGTCGCCACGCGGTTGGTGTGCGTACCACGTTAGTCTCATTTTTGTCGTCAGGTGATCTGGACGCACATTTTCTTTACAATATTATGAGTTCCTTAATTTTTTGTCGCGTTATTACGTATTGTCTCTAAATGCTCCTTCGACTGTGCGCGAGTGATTTGCGGCGTTCGTTAAGCGCGTACAATCATGCGCAGAGGTAAAGCGTGAGTGATGTTCCGTCGGCCGTCGGATACTCTTTTTGTATCATGTTTATTTCGTATTTTCTTTGGATATACTAAACGCGCAAAATTTATTTTGCATCAAGGTATGTTCTCATATTTCTTCAGCCATATGAAAATCAAATCCATTATTGACTTAACTTGTTTTTACTTCAACCGTGTGGTCTTTAACCACACAAATAATTTTGTTACGTTTAATATACAAATTAAAAAGATTAAGATTGTCGTGTGTTGTCGGTTACGTTCTTAATTCTTTGGCGGCTTTTTCCGGCAAAACCAATTAATCACCATTATTAGATACAATTTTTAATTCTGAAAATAAGAAAGATAAATCTT